AAAAGGTATAAAAATTGGGGGAGAGGTAAATTGTAAAGTAACAATAGGGACTAATAAGCAACATATTACGTAGTATTAATAAGCAAAAAGAACGTTCTGAGAAATTGATTTTCCATGGTAATCGGCCCCGAAACTTCCTGAACTCAGAAAAACGACATTAAGATATCCGGTACCTAATACAAAAACACGCAGAGGGCGCTAAACCGTTTGGGTGCTGTGATGTGTTTTTAATTCCTTTATAAGAAATCGTGTCACCCTCAACAATCACTGTTACATAAATGACCAAGTTTCGGCGTTGACAATCCCTTTTGAGGACGAGTCAGAATCTCACTTCCACTCAGTTAAGACCGTTATGTATCCCATTTGACCTTAATTGGTTCAGTGCAGCTGACACATGGTATTCTCGAGCGGCGCTGAAGAGCTTGGACGAAATAATCGTCATCGAACAACGTTTCATGGTGATGTTGATCCTTCTAAATTGGTGCGATCGCAGTTGTACAGGGTGCAATAAAATTACTCGCTCAGTTACAGCGGTTGTTCCTTTGATACTTGTAAACGATCAGCGAGCAGTTGGCGGTCATTCTTTGAACATCCACGTCCTCTATCAGTGCTTTGAATTACACTTTACAGCGCCAACGTTTTTCAGAATGGTTGGACTATATGTATCCCGGCCAATTACATTACTTAAAGGGAGGATTGCACGGAAAGAACGAAGGTCGAAGAAGGGAGAAATCGCCTAGTGGGGAGAGCGGTGAATCTCTTGAGGGTGCGGACAGACACGCAATCGGCATCGAAAGATTTGACCTCTGAGATCTAGCATGGCTCAAAGTTGGCGAGTTCGGCGATCTCCGCCCACCGATCGTCTGATCACTCGCCGTAGTACAATAGGTGGCGAGTGATTAGATAGCTGAGAGAGCGTAGGGTTGAAGAGGGCAAAGCGATGAGAGTCGCATCAATGCTCAAATCAACGGACAAGGAAGGGGTCCCATTTCTCCGGTTCTGGGCCGTTTTTCGTGGTTTCGCTTTCTTTCTGGTACTACTCACCATCTCTACCTCAATTTGGAATGGGTTGCTTTTCCATCGTAAATTCGTCCTTTAATTTAATTCGTCCTTTAAACGTGCTTGGTCCCAGTGCAAAAACAATAGCCAAAATGCTGCTGGTGCATGGCACAACTGTGGAGCTTGTCTTCAAATGATAAAAGGAATCGGGAGCTTTGAAATACCGCTGAGAATGATGGTACCGTAGCTGCAACCTCCACGAAAGATGTTAAATTCGTATGAGATATGGTACGACCCAGTCGGACGAGGTCGCTGATAATCACAGTTACAATCACAGCTAGAAAAAAAGCTATCCCCAGAGCTGTCACACTGCTGAGAAAAAGCTATCACTTTGACTAATAGCTGCCAAAATGCCTCACTCCATGCTCCATCCATAAAGATAATCCGGTGCGAGAACTTCAAGATGTTTTCCGAATGATTACGTCGGCGCGCCACCGAGAGATGGTCTTCTTCGGTGAAATGCCGTTCAGGGTGAACTCAACTTCCGATCGTCAAAATGATGGAGGACTTTGCCTAGGGACGGTGGAAGCTGACGATAGATGGAGAATTCGTGAATGTTACGGAAAGGCAACAAAATCATGGTTTGGTTTGCGATTAGCCATGAAGTCGTGTCCCCACTTGTTTTCATCAAAGAGGATACTTTAACTGAAGCAGTGCTCAATCTGGAAGGTTGCTAACGTCTCGCTTTCCTGTACAAAATCCCACAATGGATCCGGACCGCTCGTGTTTCAGCAGGGTGCAGCACTAGTTGGTAGATCGAAGGTGACATCGCAGCACGCGAGAACACCAGCCCTGGTCTCACCAGCGCTCAATTACGGTCAATCAAAAGTACTTACTTCAACAGAGTGGAATATTTCGTGTTGAGCTTTTCAGAGAGCAAGGCCTGCTCGTAACAACACCACCCAGCCGCAGCCCAGATAACGAACCTGCTCTACGTTTAGGAAGAAATTTGTTTGGAGCACCTACGCGCCACAGTCTACGACCTCTCTTTGCAACTAAAGGCTAAAGCTCGGTCTGAAGAGACACTTTGAAATGTGAAGCCGGTTTTGATAATGGCATTTCATTCGTAAACTTCTGTCAGAAAACGAGCCTTCAATTTATTGTTTTACAGATCTTACAAGGCGGAAACTTGAGCAAGTAATTTTGGCGCACCCTGTAATGTTGCTGTAGAGTATAGGAAGAGAATTCTTGTGTACTGAGTAGAAGGATCCCAATTATTTCGACGGATTTATGACCTTCTGTCTTCACAGAGTCGGAGGATACAGGTTGATTAACGTGACACACAGCTGCATCGTGTGCACTCAGGACTCTACACGAATTTCGCGTGTATGTACTATGTGAATTTGGTAGGTTATGGTGACACTCTCTAGAAACGATCTCGATGGCCGATCTTTACAAGGTCCTGCCGATTCTATTCAAAAAAAATGGCGACAAAGCGTGCCTCCACTTGTCTGCCGCGTGATATCGCGACTCTTTCAATGCAGCTCCTCTTACAGTTACAAGTGCTACCTTTCCATTTCGGGGCTTATTTAACGATGATCTTAGGTTATCAGCTCTTTTGAAGGATGGAAGATAGTAGCGAGTCCCCGAGGCTTACATGTACTCGTTCTTTTGGCTTAGAGCGCGACAAGGCGCTATGGCTTTTCCAAGATCCTCCGAGCTCCATTTCCTCGGTTTGCAAGGTTGTTTCTAAATCTGTTCACGGGTAAGCACAGCTCTGAACGAATCTTTAATTTTAAGGTTTTTCGATCAACTTTTTCACAGTTTTCTTTAATCGCTTGCTCCGCTTCGACTGTTTCCCTGCTCTTCATCTTCGTGCGCCCAAGAATCTCCAGCTCATGATCGCGCTTCTGCTTGTAGGTGCACGGCTGTGCACCGCATCATGTCAATACCTTCTTTATACTGGCGCGGCGTGATGAAGTCTAGATCGTTGGTTGTTTTTCGAAGCGCGCTCTCCTGATGCTTATCTAAGGGATGAATTATTGGGCCAATCATAATTTCCTTGGAGCGTGTAGAAGTCTTCACGGATAAGCATCCTCCATCATGAACAACACAAAAAAGACACCCTAGAGAATCAGTATAGAAAGTAACCAAATTGGAGATGGGGCCGAAAATTGCTTCGGAAAGTACACGTTTTCGAGGTAATAACGCACGCGGCATATTAAACCAACGTTTGATACGGAATCCGATCCAAAGATCATGTAAATGTTGACGTCCCCACCAGGGTCAACCGTCCGTTCGAACTGTTCGAACGAAGGGGTCGCATTTTGGTCGGAAGGGGGTCGCAATTTCGAGGACTGCCAGCCACAGGCGCGTGCGTGGCGTATCCGAGGGCAAGAATTGTTTGTGCAGACCGCATTAGATTCGATTAATTATGCACAGAGAGACAGTTTTAGGCAAATTACGGTGTTTTCCTTGAGGAATAGAGAACAGTTGAATGCATCCCTATGAAAGGTTTGACTTCTCGGGGCTGAAATTAAAGTTCTTCGGGACCTATTTTCTGAGGACGATTCTTCCAGACAACGGTAAAACATAAGAAAGCAGAAATCTCGTAGTCTTCAAAAATGTCTTCGCCCCTCCCCAACAAGTTCTTTGAAGGAAGTTATTATTGCTGAAAGCTCAAAAACTCGCATGTGCTGCTCAAAAACCTATGGGAACAAAATGTTCGAACGTGTGATTTTCTCGGAAAATGGATTTTGAAAAACGGTTTGGTGCTTGTCAGAAAGAGCAAATCCTGTACTTTCACCCCATGAAAAAGTGCATCACAGAAATGAAAATGAAGTGAGTTATGGTCGCTGAAAGCCCAAAAACTCGCTTTTGCACGAAAAATGTTCGAACGGGACAATTTTTTGAAAAAGGGGACAATCACTAAAACTTTTTATACTGTTTTGTTAGAGAAATATTTGAAGTTTCTGAAACTTTTTACAGATTTCCAAAATGTCGCATACGAAAGATTTTATGGGCCTTCAAAGTTGAAGGTGCGCCTTCTTAGAATTTTGGGTTTTCCACTTCTAACAGAAGTACTTTCCGGAGAGTTAGGCAATCCTTGTAGTTTTCTGGAAGCGCACCTCAGGCACAATCAAAATCTACCTCAACAAGTCAAAAAAATACGTCCCAAGAAAGTTATTCCCCTCTAAAATTTTTTCTTCGCCGCGTCCCGTTCTTCCAGCGCCCGGGTGATACCTGCCGCGCTCCAAGGCTGACGCGACGACGCGCAGACGCTTTCTGGCGCAACGGATTCATGTCTAGCACTCTTATTAACAAAAACAGGGGGTCGCAACTGGACCCCCTCGAGAGCTAGGGGGTCGCAAAAATCCCGAAAATGTTCGAACGTGACGGTTGACCCTGCGCCCTAACCGCCTTTTCAGTCCTGAAGAGAATATAACACATAGCAGTTTATTGTGCACTTCTAAAATGTCTCGTCATTTCAACAGATGACGATAAGGATGAAAATCAACACGGTAATAAAAATACAGGAAGCTAAGGGTATACAGTTATAGTTAGTATTGACATTAACAAATACCTTACAAACTTCATAACACATGTGTAACCAAGATATGTACTTTGCTTTAGTGCGGTGCTTGTTTTTGAGAGACTGACAGTTGTTCAAATGACGTAGCACGCGGCCTGACATCCGAATATTGCTATATCTAACGATAACATACTATAATATAATAAATTAACAGAAAACAAAATTAGTATTGGATTTTTCAAGCTCATTGTGAAGTTCTTAGTTTTCCAAGACAAAAAACCTGAATCGGGAAAAAAGAGCCTTACTGTGTTTTGCGACACGAATATTTATTGTGTAATGACCGTTGCCAATCTTGTATAAACATCTATTGCTTACATTACAACTTACTCTCGAAAAACTGGCGTATTAGGAACTCAAAACGCAGAGGCCTTGTGGTCCACACATTGCACCAGGGAATACGTTGCTACAACTATCGGCACTGCATCCTTTCACTTCCGAAACTGGACCCCATGTAAATCGGCTTGCCTATCTCCGGCCTAAAAGCAATAATACTAAGCACGTACACCTTTCTAGGCAAAAGACATAAATGAATGGTTCACAAAGAGTGGGAGAAATTCCGCGAACAGTGATCTAGGACACTCTAGCTTGAATTCTGCTGTAATTACGTGATAAGGTAGTAGACCTTTATATTTATTTATTTATTTATTTATTTATTTATTTATTTATTTATTTACTAATACATCACAAGGATGTGCCACAAAGAGTGTATCTAAAGAAAAAAACACGAAACACAAATTGAAGCACACTAGATTCATGCACAGCTTAAATCCTCTTAACAGGGATGTCATTGGTGGCTCCGACATCCAGAATGAGCCCGAATTATCACTCAGATAATCACTCGCACCTCAGTCCACTACAGTTAGTTGTAGGGAAAACGGCAATCGCATGGTAGCGATCGGGTAGTGGGGAGGCGGTGTCCGTAAACTGAGTGGCTCAATCAGAAGCTTCATTACCACATAACATCTAATATTTTTTTAAGCTATGAGCTGTGGTATGGAATCTGGTGTGTTAATCAAGATCATCAACAATATATGCCGATCCTTTCTTCTCTTCATAACTGCCATTCGAGTCATTGAGACAAGATCTGTTGCAATTCTTATGATCCTTTGCATAAGCTCATCCTCCTATTCTGAGATATGAGAGTAGAAAAAATGTCAAGCCTTTCAATCCTTTCTCTAAAAATTTTGCTGCCAGCGGATTGAAGAACGTTTGATGGCAGAAGCTCAAACCATCTTGCACAGCGATTGAAAATCATATTAAACATTAAAGAGAATTTTCTGCGTTGTATATTCGAATAATGAAGGTTGAAACCCCCTATTCGCTCGCTGTTTGGTCTGAATATCCAGAATCTTCTAGCAGGTAATTTGATTTCTCTACGATAAGTTGGACAATGGGACTAAGCCTGAAATCAGCGCCTATACTGCAGCAACTCAGAGAATAGTTTCAAGCGATCTCTATAGCGATGGGAGGTCAGAGTGTCGATCGCGAGCTGTTGTATGGCGGGTCCTGTACCATAAAAGATGAGTGAACACCCGCTGAAACTTTCTCTATTCTCAAGATATCTTTCTTTAAATGGGGGTTCCAGACTAGAGAGCAGTATTCGAGGTGTGGCAAAACGTAAGACTTGTAAAGGCGCACAAGTATAGCAGGATCTGAACAGCGGACACTTCTAAAAATCATGTACAATGTGGCATAGGATTTTTTTACAAGAAGATCAATATGATTGGATAATCTTAAGTTAGATGTGAAAATCACTCCCAAATCTTTGATTGACTCACAAGAAGAAAGAGTGGAACCGTTTGCTTTGTATTCGTCTGCCCCATTGTATCCTATTTGCATCGTTTTGCATTTGGACACATTGAGGGGAATATCTCGAACTTAGCCCATTAACATTTCATCAATTGACAACTGAAGGGGCAGAACGAACTTCTATCGAGTTTTCTTGGCGATATATCCCATACAATTTTATGTCATGTTCAGGATCTGAACAGCGGACATTTCTAAAAATCATGTACAATGTGGCATAGGATTTTTTTTACAAGAAGATCAATATGATTGGAGAATCTTAAGTAACAAAAAACAACCCCTATCAAAGTTTTTTAGCCGACATACGACCAGGTCTGAAGGTGCACTGTGGCAAAAAAAGAAAAAGAGTAAAAACTCACGCAGAATTAAAGACACAGGCCACGGCAAACGTTGTTGTACACGCACGATAAGAGCATCCCACCTTAGTTGACTTGTAATAGAGCATCTGACAAAAAAGATTTTTTGTAGTTTAAAAAAAGTTCCCCTTCCAGACTGATGTTCCTTTCTGAAGGCACAGTTCGCACTGTTGGTGCAGCTGATGGATCTTCGGGCTGCCAGCTGCTAAGATGTGCTCTGACAAAAAGACCCACAGAAGGCCTTTGGTGGCTGGATACAAATAAGTCGCACCACGGTCATGATCGACCGGCTGTTGGAATCTTCCCAACGAGAGGGTGGGAGTAATGTACATTGGCAGCTTTTTTTCCTCACTTCCTTCCCTCCCCCTTCCCTAACCCAACTCCTCCACCTCTCCACCTCGCAATTTTGCAAGAGTTTCGGGTTCGGAGTAGAAGTGTGTCAAGTGACAGTGGTGTCAAGAATTCTATCGAAACCATCTACGGTTGAGGGAGGGGGGGGGCGAAATATTGTGTGAGGGCTTCTCCAGTGACTCATAAAGCTCGTGAAATCAGCACAACATGACGATTACTCTGAACGGGACACCTCCAGCACGAACTATGCATTGAAGCTGAGACCCGTCCCAAACAAGAGTGCTTAACCATTTCTGTCAAAAGTAGGAATATCAGCGAGATTCTCACGTTTGCAAACTCTTTCATCCTTTCGCTGGTGTATGTCACCTGGCCATCAGTCACAGCAGCCTCATTCTTCCAGATAGTTAACGTTATGTTGATAAGCTTTTCAGCGACCATCCCAGGTACCAGTTGATCTCTGAAATAATCAATGAGATTGTTTTTTCTTCATTTTTGCAAACGTTGTACGGCAGAAGATGGGAGCGGAAAACGCTTACGTGTAAAAGTTCATTGACCCTCCTGGTGGCACGAAGTTGCTTGTTTGGCATCCGTATGTGTTGATCGCAGCATACAGTTCCAGACTCTCGCTCATTTCCTGAATTTTTATCAAATGAGTGATTGCAAGGAGAAAAGTGAATACGGCGAAAAAAAAATGGAAGAGTGTCAAAATGCGGAACACCCACTACATATGTTCTCTTTGTAGTTGATCGCCCATCATTACAGATAGAACCGCGGCCTCAGGCACATGTGTGAACACAATCACTCGAATAGATGACGCTTAGTAAACGGTGCATACAGAAATAGGTTATGGGCATGGTTTGTGCATGGTTAGCTAAGGTGCCACGGAAACTTTTTAGATGTGACCCCCTCCCTGTAGTACGAAGATTCCTATGTATACCCTTTCCCTGCACAAGGTTAGCCCATGAAAACCCTCCGCTGCAGCAGAACTTGAACATCGGTAAATCTCGTCTCGAGAAGGGCCCTGTTGTGATTTACGCCGAATTACCGTGGAGGGCACTTTTCGGGGTTTTTGGCTATTTCATC